CAGCAACAGCAGCTTCGGGCCCGACGTCACCCGGCAGCAGACGGTGCAGCTCCTGCGGAAATTCCTCAAAAACCACGTCATCGAGGACATCAAGGGCCGCTGGGGCGCCGAGAACCTGGAGGACAACGGGGCCCTGTACAGGTACTGAGTCAGAGTTATCCCCCGGTGGTGCCGCAGGTTGGGAGTTTTAGTTTTGTGACAAACGCCAGTCACTTGTTTTTTAAAGTTTTAACAATTTAATAGTAATAAAATGGTTATAAAAGTAGTAATACAATCAGAGTCATGATAATTTGGATGAGGACAATATGAGACAATAGAGACAAAGAGTTACAGACAGTCCAGGTACCTTTTCTGAGCAGCACGAGCCCCAAAAATGGACCCACGTTATCAGAGGATTAACCCTTAAAAACAACAGCCTGTTGCATATTCATACACCTCATCCATGATGCATAAATTCCATTCAAACACAGGATTCTGTCTGGTCATCATCAACTTCTTCCTCTGAATCCTGACAGCGCCTTTGAGGCAGAAAAAGTTCATTTCTTCTGATAATGGGGCAATAAATTGTCTGTCTCTGAAAGACTGAAGTGTCCTGTCACTGCTATCTCAGTGTCAGTCCTTTCTTTTAAAAAGTATCCTATGTAGCATAGTTCTATTTTAACATTGTTATAACCTAAAACTCTATGTAACACACATTACTTTCTAACACAACACATATAGCATTCATTTTAATATTTGCAAAAAGCCAATCATAAAATACATGCATTTTTCACAATTTAAAATGCTTAGATTTGCAAAAAGAGCTTTGTTTGGGTTAAACACCCTAGGTAACAAGTTAATTAGCAGCACAGTTTTTCTCCTCTGAGCGTTTTGCTTCCCTCCTGTGTGTGTCCCTGCTTTTGTCCATCCCAGGTTTTTGCTGGAATTCAGACTGCACTCCAGTGCTTTGGAGTGAAGCCAGGGTGCTTTGTAGGAGCTGCCTGCTGGGTTTGCTTCTCTTGGGCCTTTTACACAAAGCCTGAGTGGGAAGCAGAGCCAAGCACTCTGAAACCAAAGGTATTCATGGCCCCACTTGTCACGTTCTGGGCTCAGGCTGTGCCAACACCTTCAGCTGGACTTTGGCATCAGGAAAAACAGCCTAAAGCTAATTTATCATATGATAAATTATAATAATAATTTAAATTATATAATTTAAATTATAAAATTATTATTATTTAAATTATATAATTTAAATAATATAATAATTTAAATTATATAATCATTTTTCTCATATGATAAATTTAAAAAAATATTTCCTGACAGAGTCACACTGCTATGGACTCAGAGGTTTTGTTTTGTCAAGTCATTTATTTGATTACAGATCAATTCTGGATGTATTTAACATCTCTCCCGTTCATTACAGATTCCCTCCAACCTCTCCAGTCAAACCTCTACCAAGCCCACCAAGGGAGAACTTGGAAAACTTCTCTGGAGACAAAGGAAAACTTTTTAAACTGCCCAGCTCATCCAAAAGGGGTTTGAAGAAACAGGAGTTGCTGCAGTCTGTGGTAATAACTTCTGTTCCTCACAGCAGTGTGGTTGGCTTGCATTGTCTTTAGTCTTTAAAATTTAGTGACACTGCTCTGTTGTGACATCTTCCCTTAAGAAAGAATAATTTAGACTTAAGGAATTTGGAAATAGTAAAAAATAAATTTTTATGAGAGGGATTTTTACTTTGTTTTGGGTTTTCTTTGTTTTGTCTCAGTGCAGAATTATCCCTGCTAAGGGATTTTAAAGTACTGGGAGGGTTGAAAGGTGAAGTCCTAGAAATGATCTGCACAGTGTGGCCTTGTTGAAATTTAATTTATTGCTGGGGGACAACTAAAAGGCACAAATAATTTAATTGGTCATCTTTCAGGAGAAGATGGAATGTGTGTCTGGCCTGTGATTCAGCTGAGATTGGCACGCATAAATTCTGAATTTAGGTTCCACTCCTAAAGGAGAATAATTCACATATTAATACATTGGAATTTGAGGTGTTTTTAGCTTTTAAATTGCTGGTTTTGGATTGATCAGGAGTTTTTCCCCATTTCTTTTTAGTTTTGTGCTTCAATTTCAGTGCTGAGGCTGCAGGTTACCCCCTGGCTCATGTGGAATTTAATGTTCCACAGAGTGCCCTGTTCTTCTAATTCCAATTTTCTGTAATTTTTAGTTGCCTTCAGAAGCTCGTTTGTCTTACAGTATAAACCACTCATTTTCAGGAAAACTTAGCAAGACCAAAAGCTGATGTAGCAGAAGAAAAGAAGGAAGGCACACAGCAAAGGAGGGAAATAACACAGGAATATGTGCAAGAAACATGGAGAAATATCATCCAGATACAGTGAGTGAGGAATTACACACAGCATCTTCTCCTTCAGTGGGAAATGGCCCAAGCAAGCTTTCACCATTTGTTTTTAATTGTTAAAACTATGTTTAAAATCTAATTTGAATTTTTGAAGGGTTTAATTTTTTTCCTGTTGTTTACACAGGTTTTCCAATCTGTTTATTAACTTTACTGCATTTAAGGAATTTGTGATCAGGTGCTGAAATCTATTTTAAACACCTCAGGTGCTCTTCCTTGCTGAGTGTTGCTGTTTGTCCCAGGGAAAAGTGTCCCCAGTTGTCCTGGAAGGGAGAAGTTACCACACAGCACCTGAGCTCACCCAGAGTTTGGAACAGTATGGAAAGAACTTGTTTTCCTTCATCCCTTGCAAATCTTTGCTCTCTCCCTGCCCAGTCTGCAGAGCATTTTGGGACTGCCCTCGCTGGAGGAGGTTCTGCAGCCAGCCCAGATCATCCCTGAGTTTGTCATGTACAACATGAGCAACACCAGCAAACACGGCGTGGTCGTCCTGCAGGACAAAGCAGGTGACATTTATTTCCCTAGATTTGCTTAACAATTATTTGTTTATACATAATAATTCATCTGTTTCACAGTCTGTTGTTTCCACTTGTTCCCCAGCCACAGCACAGCTCAGGGACCTTCAGTCCCATCCCATTCCATGGCAGGGTCACCTTCCCCTGGCCCTGGGCACTGCCAGGGGCAGCCAAAATTCCATCCCAGCCAAAAATTCCTTCCCAATATCCCATCTAACCCTGCCCACCTTCACTTGAAATTACTCCCCTTTATTGTCTCAAAATTGCATGTGGAGCAGTATTTAAAACCAGTTTTAAATTTAATCTTTTGTGCTGTAGGTGTTATTTAATAGGTGTGAGCCATTATTAGTGGTTAATTATTTGGGCTTATGTCTAAATGATGCTTTTCTGTTTGGATTTCAGAAGACCTCCCTCACTGGGTGCTGTCAGCCATGAAGTGCTTGGCCTACTGTAAGTCACTGAAGAGCTTTCGAGTTCCAGAAACCTCTTTTGAGGGTTGAAAGGGAAATATTTGTGTGTGTGAAATCAGCTGTGATGTTTCAGTTCAGAAACCTGGGGGTGGTTTCCTCTAGTGCAGTTTTTCAGGAGTGAAAGGGACTTTGCTTTTCCAGTCCTTGGCTTTTAGCTGGACCCAAACATTTCCTACACTTCATATTAAACTGGGGAGATCCATTTTCTTTGCTTTGTAAACAATCAACTCTCAATTAATTAGATGAGTGCCTCTCAAATGAGACCAGAGATAATGAGCTTTTTTATCCATGTGCTGAGCTTCCTTTTGCTCAGGGAGCTTGAACTCCCCGTGGGAGAAGTGGGATCTCTGTGCTTTGGAAATGAAGGCACACACTAAGAGTGGGTTAGAATTTTGCTGGGGAACCTATGAAGAGCACAGATTAATTTTGCTTTATTTATTTTCTTGGTGTGGAACAGAACTGAGCACAGCTCTCTAGTGGCTGCCTGGAATCTCTTACACTGCTTTTGCTTACAAATTGTGCCAAATACAATATTTGTGGATTGCTGATAGCATTCTTTGCTTGTGGAAGAAGAATAAATTTAGGCTGATCTTCAGAAATTTCTTTTCTAGTGGGACTGTGGATTTTTGGTGTGAATTTCCTTTCTTCCCCTCTTTTCAGGGCCCAGGAACAAGGACATGAGCCAGGACACCTACAGTGGCTTTGAGCGGGACGTGTTCAGAACAGTTGCTGATTATTTTCTCAGTCTTCCTGAGCCATTGCTTACTTTTGAATACTATGAGCTCTTTGTTAATATCTTAGGTATGTATGAGTTTAGAAACCATCAGGGAAGCTCTGAGTTCAGATCAGCTGGGGACAAATGTGATTCAAAGCAGAGCTCGGCCTCCTGGTGTGTGTGGGAGCTCCAGTCTGAGGAGGATCATCCCTGCTCCATTCTGTATTAGTGTTAATTAAAGTGGACTTCTGCCTCATGATTTCCCATTTAAATTGCTGTTTCAGCTCACATTCTAAATATTCAATAACAAGAACTTCAGAAGGTGTGCTTGTTCTGCCTGCTCCTCACTGTTGCAGTGTTACCTGTCTTTGTTCTTGCATGTTGGATGCAACTGCCTTGTTAAATTGCTTTGGGACTGAACTAAAGTCTTCTTAATTAATATCTTAATTAATATCTTAATTAATATCTTGACTTTGTTGTCTGTCTGCCCAGTTAGCAGCTCTCTGAACTGGTTCATTTTCACACCACTTGCACCTTTAACATCTCTTTCATTCCCTGATAGTTTTGTGTGGCTACATCCAAATTCCTGATCTGGGCAGTGGAAATCGTTCTGTCCAAGAGGAGAAATGTGACCCTCAGCCTTCAAAACCTCCTCCCTTGAACTCTTTCAAGTCCACTGAGTGTCTTCTCCTAAGCCTGCTCCTCAAAGAGTCTGACAAGAAGGAGGAAGGAGAAGCTTCCAGGAGGTTTTCCTCAGAGGAGCTGAGAGCCCAAAAGCAGCACGGGAAGAAATGGCAGCAGCACAAACTGCCACGGCAGCAAGGGAGTGCTGGGAGCCTGATAGGAGGGAGCTGCCAGAATCTTGCAGGACCCAGGAATGCCCAGGAGCCACCTGGAGCGTTTAGGACAAGGTGTTACTCCTTGGAGAGAATTGGATGTGATAAAGGAGGACGTGCCCCGCTCAGGGCAGGTGTGAGCGCCAGCTCGAGCAGTGCAGAG